ATATTACAGTCTACTTTTTACATTTTAATCCACAATGCAAGACCCATCAGGACACAGAAACATAACCCCCCACCTAGCCCTATCCCCCAAGCTGCAAAAAAAACCCTGTACAGTGCAGTATATACAGTGTACTCACCCAAAACAAGCAGTCTCTCTTTAAAAATACAAAGTCAAACATCCAAAAATCAAAAATTAAAAAAATAATCTGTATAGTACAGTACCAAGCAATACTGTACCAGGCAGTCTGAAGACTCTCCCTATCCACTCTAACCGCTTGGACTAGCAATGTTGCAGATAAACAGCCTCTTCGCTGGCCAACGGTTAACAGAAAGTTCATATTTCGCGCTTTCCCTGCCTCCCCCGCGTTTTTTTAGTTCGTATCTTGAAGCTCCATTTGCAAGTAGCAAAATTTTGCGAACGGAGCTGTTCGTACGTTGGATTGTTCGTAGGTAGGGATGTTTGTAAGTAGAGGTTCCACTGTACTTCCTTGCAGGTGAAAGGGCTAGAAAGAGATTTCCTGCTTTGAATTGTAAAGAAAGGAACATTGTCTCCTCTCTTTTCTAATCCTGCTCTTTAAGATGCTTTGCAAGTCTAAAAAACCACTTACTTCTCTAAACCACTTACTCCTCGACACTCAGACCTCTCTATTGCTGTGGATATATCACTTTTCTTATTTTTTTTTTAAAAAAGGAAAAGAGGGCCCCTGATTGCCTTTAGAAACAACAGAAAACGGTCAGATACAAAGTTAAGAACGATGTAACCTCCTATAACAGTTCAAATCGAACCAATGCAGTTAAAAACAATGTGAACGCGCCTGCCAATATACATACCACATGACCACCGAAAAAGAGTATTGGTATAATGGAGGTATGAAAAGAATCGGCATAACTGGGATTCTTTTCTCACATGTGATTGCACCCTAAATGTAAATACTAATCCAAAGCCTTGTTGCCTCACTTCACCAGAGATTAAACAGCATCACTCAACATATATGGCAGGTTATCACATTCCTATGTAACATTTTCTCATTTCACACACGTATAACTTAATCATGAAGTCTTAATCATTGTCTCACAGTATCATCTATAATGTGTTACCACATTATTCTTGTTCTTTATTAAAATACTTCTATACCAACCTACATCAAAATATGGAGTCAAAAGACAGTATATGGTTGTATAAAGAGCTAAAAGCGTGGAATACATAGACATTTGACTAGGTTTAAATCATTTAAACACTTAAACAATTTACTAGTCTTTTGAAATAGGACATTTTGAAGCATCTGTATGTACCTTCTAACCCTAACTCACCTTGGCCTCAGGAACATCTGCCAACCGTATGAAGAATTTGTTAAGGCCTTGAACAGGACTGAAGGAATAAATAAAGTGACTGTCCTAAAATTAAAAATCAAAAATTAGTTGTATGCCCCACCTCTAAGAATATCATGTTCCTAGTCAGAACGCAACTGAACATCACATCCACATAATCATGCAAAGGGGAAAAATCTGTTTCTAGGTTAATTTCTACCAGGATGAAATGCCAGTCATTTAACAAAGGACAGGACAAGATGACTTGTACAATACTGCTGCATTTGAAAATACTGATCACGATTAAGATATATTGAGCAGCATTTATGGCAGGTCAGGCCCCTACTCTGCCTCGGCAACACTCCAGATTAGATCTACCCTCGCCTGTTCTACTCATTTTAGCATTCAGCTGCAACAGTTTCATGCTTAACTATGAACTCCAACACAGCATGATCAGCATTTACATAGTAGGACTGACGGTCCCTGATGGATATTTTGAGGTTGAGTGGTAGGTCCTGGCAGAGCTACTTTCTAGCAGGGCTTTTCTGTGTGTTACGCAAAGAAACTTTAAACAAGTACAAGTATTAAAAATATCGCTGGCTATTAAGTAAGATGTCTGTACAAAGGCCCTCTGTTCAAAGCCACTGCATAGCAGCTGCAGAGGAGCAAGAAGGGAGATGGCCGTCCATGTGTGAAATAAGACTAGTGTAGGCCCCCCTGTAACAAAGGTCTTCAGGCAGCTTAAATAATACAGTTCAGATTTTAAAATCCCAACTATAAGCAACATAAAAACTCATGACAGCCCCCAAAATTAACATAGAGAATACTCTGAAAATGCTGCGCTAGACAAGACCACTGGCATGACCCAGCACAGGACTCCTTGTTAGGTCTGACTATGGGAATCTGCCTTCACATGGATGGAATGAAATGGGTATCCCTATAGATCCGGACAGGAAAAATATTTGAAGAGATTTAGAGGAGCGTTATAGTAAAGGAATTTATCTGTAGCTACTAACATTAAATTAACTCAAAAGTAAGGAGGGCATGAGGCTGGATAGAACTGGCACTGAGGGCCTGGGCTGGTCTATTAGCCTAGCCACTCGCTTGAAAGATCTGCTGACTGAATTTCTCTATCTGGGCAGGACGGCAGGCTCTGTAGGGCTGTGAGGGAGAGTAAATATAAAATAGAGAAAACAGGGGCCCCTGCTATTCTAGACATGGAGTTAAAGGACACTGCATGAACCAGCATCCCCTACATGTGGGGACCCTAAGACAGCACACTCCTGAGGAAACAGGTGCTACATATCTTCCAACAATGTACTATTTGCAGAACTTCTAAAGATCTACTATCCTAAAAGTAGACATTCTCTTGTTATATACAGTCAGAGATGTCATTTACTACAAAATAAGGTTGTTAGCAAGGTTTTTTTTTAAAAAAGAGTTTCCCAATAAGAAATGTATTCTGCAGCATGTCACAAGACATCAACTAAAAGTTGTCCAAAAATTGTTCTTTACAGGAGACTTTACAGGTTTTCCGGAAAAGAGTTGTGGAACTGTATAGGGACAAACTGCCTATTTCACAGCCCTTCACATATTTTTATTTATTTATTTGATCTGTATCCTGCCCATCTGGTCTATACGACCACTCTGAGCGGCTATTAAATGATGACAGGGCCACATTCTGATATCATCACAATAATTCAACTGCCACTCTTTTTCCACCAAGCAGTACCCACTGTATTAGGTCTTAATTCCCTTGTGCCACTAAAAGCTCTTAAACCTTGAATGAGGTGGCATCACCCACTGGGATGTGACCCAGTGGATGGGAGGCATTTTCTGGATGATGAAATGTGCAAGTGAATGTTGGCAGCAGTTGTGAGTGGAGTCCTTGGACACCATATCAAGGGGCTAAATACTGTAGAGCAGTAGTTCCTAACCTTGGGTAATTCTTGAACTCCAGTTCCCAGAAACACCCAGGCATTTCAGCTCAGGGTGAAGGCTTCTGGGAGCTGCAGTCCAAGAACACTAGGTTATCCAAGATTGGAAACGACTGCTGAAGCAACCCTGAGACATGACTAATTTTAAGATTCACAGAATTAGTTTTACTCAACATAAGCCAAAATCCTGTTGCTTAGTGTAGTAAGTCACACTAGAGTAGGAACACTGCACCAAAAAGGGATTTAAAGACACAGCTCCTCCATAGGTTCTATTGATTCAAATGGGCCTACTCTAACTGACTGACTGTGGTGAAGTAAGCTGCAGTTAGATTAGGCCCATCTGAATTAAGGGAACTTGGAGAGAAACTGGGTCATTATATCACCACGGACTCAGTGGCCCTACTCCAGTGCAATTTACTATGCTAAGCAACAGAATTTCTGCTATGCTGGGTAAAACTAATTTTGTGAATCTTATAATTTGTTGTGTCTTATTCTTACAACTGCTTATGTTAATGAATAAATGTAACTAGTTACGTTCTTTTTCATGGAAATTTTAAGTTATCACTAGAGATAACAAACAACTGGATAAGATTATTCATAGAGTTGTCTCAGTAAATTGTGAAAGAAATCTAAATGAATAACAAATGGAGCACCACAAAGAAACAAAAATTAAAAAAGACAGAACATAATGGCACCTTAAGGGCTAACTTATATTTTTAATGTGAGCTTTCGTGGAGCTTTTCCATGAAAGTTCACGTTTTTTAAAAATATAAAAGTTAGTCTTGAAGGTGATAACATTTTTTTGTCTTTAACTTTTTATTTTGTTTTCAGCTATAATGCTTGCACAGGCTAACATGGCTATCCCTTATACAACTACAACTAAATCATGTGTAAGCTACAAACACGGAGCGAGAAGCCTATCGGAAGTGTTCTCTATTTCCACTAACCAGATAAAAGAACACAGGGGTCTACAGTTTTCAAGCTTTTCAGATACTCAATAACAACGATCACACAACTCACTAAGCTTCTATTTCATATGATTTTTTAAAAGCATCCAATGAACTAATTCTTTTCAGGAAAATATATGACATTATTGAAGAATTGTTGCCAAGAACATCAAGAATTTACCAAGAATACAGGCAGCTGGAATTTGTCGTTTAAAACCACAGCTTGCACGCTGCATGGTCCACAAAGTCGAGCAACAACATCCTTTCCAAAGAAGTTTGCATGGAAAATGAACAGAAGAATTCCAGATCCTGGGGGGTGGGGGAATCAATCATTTAGAGACTAAAAGAAATATGGTTCATATTTGAAAAAAATTCAGAAGGCTGACATTTTATTTAACTGCAGGTAACATTTCAAAAATAGCATCAGTTTTTCTGGCTCACAGAATTGATTTTTTCATTCAAAGAATGTTCATGCTGCACAAAATTAATTCATTACATATCGCATCTTAATGCTCTTGAAAAGTACACCTGAGTAAGCCAGATTTCCCGTTTCTAGAATCATTAGTTCTGTTAAATTCAAAGAGCAGAACTTTGGAAAGGAAGTACTAAATTCCAGAGCAGATCTGTGAACTCTTTATGTATTAGTTTCCTATGCTGATCCTGAAAAGGACAAGACACAGGGGCATCAGAAATCAAACTACCAAATTGATTTTGGGCACTCGAATTCTTGCCAACTCTGGGTGCTAATTTAGACTTTTCCCATTATCTTTGGAGACACTTTTATTTTCACATAACTAAATCTTCCTGCTTTTGTAAGCACGAGGCAAGCTCAAAAGCCCACCACCACTGAATTGCTTGTGGTAAATACATGTTGCTCTCTATTATACACAGAGGACATCCAAGTGTCAGTGTCAGTTCTAGTGGACTGATTTTGTTTGGCTGGGACTGAAAAATTTTTAATTATTAGATAATCTGACTGTAAGTAGCTCATTTGGTGGGCACAGATGAAACATACAAATTTGAATGTTGAGTTCAAAGTGTGATAAAATAATACGTCTAAGGAAAACCTTCAGGCACATTCTGTGACGGTTTATAGTTGAATTCTGAAGAATAATCTGGTCCCTCACAAAGCCGATGACACGCAATATCAAATACAGGTTCCATCAAAGTAAGACGAGCTTCAAAGTATTCCCTGATGGTCTCTTCTGCCACTCGTGAGAGTCTAAGCAAAGCAAAGAAAGTATAATTACCTACTTTGAGTCAAACAATATGTACACAAAATCTCCCTTCCTGCAGCCCTCTGAAGCAGATTTTCAGGGAGCTTCAAGTGGAAAGAGGGACAAGAAACAAGTTTGTCACCCTTCTCCTTCAGGCTTTAGTGAGTCTCTCTCAACTCTATTGCCTTAAGGACAAATCTAAGTTCCTTATAAAAGTTGTAGATTAATTTTCACTATAAAGATTTTTTTAATACAAAGCAATGCAACAAGGAAATTTACAAGAAAACTCAGTAAATTCCGAAATCAACAGTAACAAGTGTAAATGTACTTGTTATCATCTACATATAGTATTTAAAGAGACTTTTTTCAGAACTGTGGAGGGAAATGCTGCTTTTTTTCTGAGCAGTGATATGAACATGGATTTAAAGTATTCATACTCTTATGACTCAGCTCTTTAAATATAATGGGAATAACGCCATTTAAAAAAATCCTTAAAACATGAGGAATGCCCAAAGACTCTTCAAAGACCCTATTATTAATAAACATATCATTCTCCAAGCTACTGACAAACAGTAAATAGTACACTCATTATTATCATTATTCAAATCTTAGCCTGAACTCTTTATCTTCTGACCTTTGAAAAGTAATTAGGTACTATTTCACTTCTAACTTCCTACCCCACGAGTTAACTGTTTAGTTTAAATTTTTTTCCAAAAACTAATTTTTTGCTACAAGTTGAAAAATGCAGTCTTCTTTCATCAAAACCAAAAGATCACCCTAGTTATAGTTCATGGTTCAGTACAGAAACAGAATAATCTCCAAAGCAAGTACTTACGTAGCCAAGTGATTGCTGAGGAGTTCATAAACTAGTAAGTTATTACACTGTTTGGCAAAATGGAGGGCATTGCTTTGATGTTTTGATGAGATGTTGCAGTCTGCTCCACTTTCAATCATAAGACGGACAATATCATAATTTCCTCTCTTACAAGCCTACATGTGGAAATGGGGAAAAAAAGAACAGCATATAAACATATTTATTCACTGGGCATGGATTTTTTTCTAATAGAAACATGGGAAGGAAGAAAAGCGGTGCTGTCATGTAATGTTCTTAGTGACCTTACAAGGTGGAAGCTGGAGAAGCAGCACCAACCAAGTGTCAACTCCTTAACACCGTCAGAGGAAGAACGAGCGAGACTGGGAAATGAGCTAGGACTGATGGGTGTGGGGAGGCACATCAACAATTATATCCTAGCGAAGAAAAATCTAATTGAGACCCACACTGTTTAAGATGGTGGAATAGTGTGTGAATGTTTTCCTTGAAATACATGCTTTGTGATCATTTCCACAGAGGTTATACAAAAAAGGGGCTTTAAAATAACCTGTATGCACTGGTCTCAGAGTCTAGAGCAACAATTGCCAACTTTGGGGGCCTTGGTACCTATCAATCAGCTCAGCCTATGGTTGAGAAGTTGTTGCCATGAATCACATGCAGATTCACATGCATGCCATGCATCACAAGCAAAGATTCATGACATAAGGCTTAGTTCCAAATTTTGGCAGTCTTCTAACTAATCACTCTTCAAAGAAGAGGCAGATTTATGAAATTTTAGACTAATTATCTACACCACAGATAGAAATCAGCCCATGGTATCAGTGATCCTCCAAGGCCATTTTTTCCAGTTCTCAATCTTTCAACAATCCAGCCAAGTAAAATATTTTTTTAAAAATAGAAAAAATTTTTCAAAAGAGTGATTCTCTGCTAAATGGAGCTACAGGAACCCTCACAGGTTTCACAAGGGGCTCATGCGGCAGATCCAGGTTGGTGATGGAAAATGACTCCTGAATCTTCCAAAGTTGCTCAACCCTCCTGACCTATAGGAAAACATATCCATATTTACCACAGTTCAGATTCACTCATCGTAAGCATATACCTTCATTAAAGCTGTTTCGCCACTATTTTGCTGTACATTGATACATGCCCCAGCTTCCAGAAGGATGGCTACAGTAGTCAGATTATTCTACAAGAAATAACATATTTATTAACACACATATATATTCTGAAGCCAAACACAGCTGAAAACGTTACACAGCATTTTTGTATAGTTTGCATGCTTTGCTCCTTAGGTTTCTTTGAAAGTTCTCAGAAGTTAATTTTAGTCTCCGCACTTTTGTCAATGTGTCAGACATGGTACAATCATAAGAAATCCTAGTTCCAATGAAAGTAGTCTAGTTGTGCTAATGACTGTTAAAATAAAAAGCTGAATATTTCTTGCATTTAAAAAATAGAGCAGTGGTTCCCAATCTTGGGTTTCCAGATGTTCTTTGATCATCGTCCAGAAATCCTGGCCAGCATGGCTAGTGGTGACAGCATCTGGGGGTTTAGTCCAAGAATAAATGGAAGGCTATAATATGTAGATCCTGAAATCTGGAGGATTCAGCAATCCATTCAATTAAACGATCCCGGCTGTACCACTTTAATTCCTTGTTCTGGGTATAAGGAATAGGAAGAATTTTGAGATGAAAACTCTCTGAATAAGTAAAAATAAACAAAGGAGCAATGAAGAAAGACACCAACCTTTTCAGCTGCATGTATCAAGGCAGTCGTTCCATTTTTTTGTCTGCAATTAACTCTAGCCCCTTTCCTGATGAGAAGTCGAAGGATATCATCATGACCCCCTGCAGCAGCGAGCATCACAAGAGTCATCCCACTAGAATCCTGTAAGTGATTTGTTCATGTTGAGTTTTGAAGGACAGCTTTCTAAAGTACAACTCTGATTAATGAGGAACAAGATACCAAAGATCATTCATAGAAAGTGCATGATAGATGCGTAGTAGGACTTAAATTTGTGTTGTTGGACTTAAATTTTTGTTTGTTGGACTTGCATTTTCTTCAAGCAAGAACAGCAAAAAATGAAAAAAAATTGTAGCAGCTTTTGTTCAAGCTATCGTTATAAGTAAAACACAGTAAAAATGGAGGTTTTTTGCCCTTCCAATGGCAATTCAATAACTTTGGCCCCTGCTCCTGAGAAGATGTTGAAGGATATTCTTCAATGGTTAAAATGTAGAAAGGAATTCTACTTTTCTAATTATTACATTTCTTTCAACAACTGTTGTTCAAAGCAAATCATAATTATAGAGTACACAACCACATTAAAAGGTGGACATCTAAGCAAAAAAGCTCCAGCTAGAGCAGGTGCCCAATGTTGTCACTGCCTTCTCCTCTCTCTCTCTCTCTCTCCTGGAACTTTTATCATAGACTGCCTAGCATAGGACAGCCCAGCTAGAGAAGGCACATACAGCATTGCATCAACTGGATAAATATGTGTATCAATTTTTTTGAAGTAAAATGCACACTTAGAAAAGGTCTGCCACAGCACACCTTGGAAGTGCTGTGGCACTTGGAGGAAACAGTCCCTCTTGTGTGAGAGTGAAGGAGATTGCCCCTTCTAGGATGGTGTTTGCCATTTGCAGTTATTTTTCTACTTTATATTTTAATTTATATTAAAATTAAAACTGTTAAAAAAAGATGTGTTGGCTGATGAATCAGGACACTTTCTTAATAGGTCAAAACCTTCCAGATTAATTAATCATGCAGGGGTCATCTCTACATGCACTTAATATAAATAAGATACACAGCAGTGAGGCTTGAAGTGAGCCTCAAGAGTGTCATGCTGTAATGACTGCAGTCTGAAGAAACTATTTCATACACAAATATGAATACTGCCGCACAGCTGGACTTAACGACGGTCCCGCCCCTGGGCTGGACCATCCACATGTGTCCTGCAGTGGTGGCAGCCTTGGTCAGCCTTCCAATCGCTCCTAGAGTGCTGCTCTCTTTCCGCTCATCTAGCCACTCGGCAGCCACGCAGGGAGACTCGTCTTCTCCCCCCCACACACCTGGAGTTGGCTAGATAAATAAATAAATAATAATAAGCAGCAGAAAGACAGCAGTGCTCTGGAGCAATTGGAAGGCTGACTGAGGCTGCCACCACCGCCGGAAAAGAGTGGACAGTCCGGCCTCAAGGGCCAGACCCTAGCTAAGTGCAGCTGTGCAGGGGTATACGTATATGAATACCCCAATCTCTACATTTGTATATTCTATCACTGTTCACTTGACTGCCCCCAGGTCTGTTACCTTCCTGCATTAATATTCCCCCAAAGAAGATTAAACATTAAATTACACATTACACAAAAATGTACCTCTTGGTCAAGATTATACTCTTCATTTGAATTAAGTGCCATCTTCACTGTAGCATAGTGTCCGTTTTTAACAGCGTCCCGCAGCTGAGCTAAAAGAAAATAAGTTCAATTGGACATCATCTGTTTCAAAAGTGGAGGCATGAAGAGTTTGCATCTCTGAAACTGTTACTCACTGGATGATACTGGTTCAGCTGACAAGTGATTCTCATCTCCTCCATCGAGATGTTTCTGGAAGTCCTCCAGTGACAGCCATTCTAACTGCATGTCCATGCCCAAATTCAGAGTTTGTTGCTTTGCATCTATGAAGTTCAGGTTTTTACAAGGGGGGGGAAGAGAGGGATTATGTCAAAACCACCAAATAAATCATAGTTCTGCACATACTGTATACCATTTCTTCCCACTGCTCCCCTACTCCAAAACAAACAGAAAAATAATGCAGAGTACAATTAGTGGAAAAATAAATTGGGTGAGGACTAAAGCTGATTTTAATTTAGACAATACATTCTGTTTGTGGGTAATTTGTACAAATCTGGGCTACTGGTGTTTAAACTGAGTTGCTTGACATCTGTTTTGTTTTGTTTTTATTAAACAGTGGGGAACTGAACACTTCTGATGTAACATAATTCTTGCTTCTGCTAGCAGTCATTGGAATATGCCGAAGGCAGGGTATATAATAATAATCTTTGGATGAACGGAAAACAGCTTTTCTTAAAAACCCACTCCTCATACACCATAAATTTTATAAAACTAAAATGGGAGAAAAAACCCAATTCCAAATATATTGTTGAATTTAAATAGCATGCATGAGTGAAGAAGCCTACTTCATCAGTCATATGAAAGTGGATGGAAAGGACAAGGCTCCAACTCATACAGCAACAGCTAAGAGAATTCTACCAAAACTTTCAAAAACAATGAATCAAGAGCTAGAGGCAACTAGCTACTAGCAAGAGAATTTGCAGTTACTTTTTAAGAAATAATTACTTATGTAACTTAAAGCAAATCTCAGAAAATAATGTGCTGCTGTTAATGCTGCAAATAGATTTTAATGACTGTCTGCATTACCTAATACTGCCAAACATTCAACTTACCAGAAATGTCCTCAATCACATCATGATCACCTTCTGCAGCAATATAAGCCCAAGTATCTGTCTCGTCTCTTGCGCTCCTGCCATACATATGTTTGTCTTTTGATCTGAATTCATCTGCAGATCTGTAATCATGTGCTGATTCCTCTCTTTTATCCAAGTATTCACTTTTTTCTTCGGCAGAAATGCTGAGCACATCAAATGCATTCTTGATCTCTTTCACATCTAAAACCCAGTTAACAAAATTATTGTGGACTGTTCAATAGAGCTTAGATATATTTGCTGTGAAAAAAATTACTACTATATGATTAATTCACCAAAAAGTTTAGCACTTTCTACATTCCAGAAGACTTGATAAACTTCTACAAAATCTACTGTTGAGAATGAAGAAATTTAATGTTTAGGTCTGTAGAAAAGGTTGAAATTTTAATTTTGGAAATGCCTTTAAGAATGCCTTAAGAGGAAGTAAAAGAAACCAACAAACTACCTATCACCAGTATGAACATAAAAATCCTGCTAGATCAGACTAAATGCATATTTAGTCAAGTATTCTAACTCACAGGAACACAAGGCACTACTTTATACTGAATCAGACCCTTGGAATCTAAACTAGTACAGCGAATAGTGACTGGAAACCAGCTTTCCAGGATTTTAGGCAAGAGTTTCTCCCAACTTACCTGGACATGCTAGCAACTGAGCATGGGGCATTCTGCATGGAAAACATGTGGTCTTCCACTGAGATTCACCACTTTTCATAAGACTTCCCACATAACCTAAAGACAATTATGTTTACAACAGCAGCCTCCCACTTAGATAGACCCCAGCAACTGTTATATTGTTTCTTTTACCAGAGATAAGGAACTGCAATCAGGACTAGAAGCCACTGACAGCCTTATCCTCGCTGGGTTTTTCTAATCCTTTTTAAAAAATAATCTCACTTTCACCATTTCAAAGTTTAACTATGAGCTATGCATCATTCAGTTTCATTAGATGATAGCAGTTTCTAGCATCAGGAGGGAGAGAAAAACAACTCCTTATTCAACATTTCTTGCTCCATGCAGAAATACAGACACCTCTATAACATCCCCTCTTCCTAACTCACCATTTTTCTAAGCAAGTAAGGTGTGCTTTTTTAATGCTGCAATCTTTTTTCAGTTAGGAGTTGCTGGAGCAACTCTGATCACCTTTTCTACCTCTTCTCTAGCTTTAGAACAACTCTGAGGTTTGGTGATAAGAAATGTACACCAAAAGATGGTCACAGGACAGATTTGCAGACAGACAATATGGGAATAAAAGGAATTCTGATTCCCTTCTTAAGAATCATCAATGTGTCATGTTCCTTTCTGATAGGGGCTACATCAGCACCATTTCTGATCAAGCACTGGTAGCTCAGCTCTCTCATCAGAATTTAGAATATTTTGCCATAAAAGGCATAATTTGACACTTGCCTAAAATGAACTGCATTCATTACTGTAACTTATGGTCACATTTACTAAACTATCTCTGAACTTTAAAAAGTAATATTTGTGGTTTATATTTAACATTACTTTAGCATTCAAGTATAAACTTCAAGATACTTTCTGTACTGTTCTAAAAGGGCTAGAATAAAATATCAGTAGGAACATTCTGGCACTTTCAGAGAAGGGTTGTAGAAGAGACAAGAAATGGTTTCGAATATGGTAGATGTTTACCAAGATACCTCTGCTGGCTTTTTAAATATACTATTTAAAAAAACAAAACACAGAAATGCAAGCTACTGTACTCCCTAAGCTATGCTATCTTTCTAGATAAAGATCACTTAAACTGTACTACTAAGTCTTATGCAGAGATGTCATCAGATGAACACAGTAACCTCAAGATGATCAATAACTCTATAAATGTTTCTTCTGCAGAGGCTCACAACTGTGTAAAGCCTGGTCTACTAATCAAACACCATGCTGTGCATATAAAATGCTTTTGAGAGACCTCTTTGGCAGCCACACCTTTGGCAAATAGATTTCTGCCTTATAGATGTGTTATCCCTTCCCCCTGAGCACCTTTCCATATTACAGTCTCATACATCCCTCTGTGAAGCATTTTTGGGTCAAAAGAGTGACTGCCAGGAGGAAGAGAGGGCAGAGAAGTACTCTTCTACAAACTCCATTGTATGGACTCAAATTTGGATCCAATGCATTTCAATTAAACAGCATAGGGCAAAGCATTAAAGAAACTCAACATTAATAAAAAAACTGCATCTTCAGTATTTGTTTTACTACAAGAACAAAATATTCTAAAATGATTTTTTAAATTCACACAGGAATCCAAAGAGTTTTGCACTTACTTTTGAAATTCCTTTGCTCTTTTCTGCCCTTTTCTTCCTTGTCGGAATCAGGCCTTTTCAGAAGTTTCTCCTTTGTTTCGCTTTTTTTTATTTCCTTTTCCTAGAAATAAAAACTAAATGTGAAAGGAATGTTTGAAGGCACCTGTGTCAACCAAAGCAAATTAAGTGGAAGAGGAGAAGGAGAAGAGAATGGGTGTCCAGAAAGGAACAAGCTACAACAATTTTAATTTTGCAGCATTCAATTTAGATTACCTTAATTAATGTCCCTCTTTCCTTTGAGTCAATATTAAGAGTGCTTTTAGACAAATTCTTCTTGCTGATGGTGCTTCCTCCTTTATTGGTTTCAGGATCCAGAGTAAATTTTTCAAACAGACTCTCCCCCACAGAATGCTCTGAAGACCTGTCTTTAAATCTCTCTTCATCGTCTCTCCAATTCAATTTTTTTTCTTTGTTTTCAGCCACTGTTGACTTCTGAGGCACATCCCTGGCAGAGGACTGACCCACTTTAGTGTCTTTGCTCTTCAGTTTTATATTACCACTTAACTCCCCTACTGAATCAATGGACTTGCGTCCTCGGTCATCAAGGAACAGTTTTGGACTTTTCTGCACTGGAGTGGGTGTCATGGGTCTCTTGCTGTCTAACTCAGCAACAACTTTTGCTTTCTCTTGAATCTTCTGCTTCTTGTGTGCACTCTTCTTCTCAGAATACCTGTCCACTTTCCTACTGTCCTCAAGATTTTCGCCCTTTTTGTGTTTCTTCTTTTTTCTCTTAACTTTAATTTCTGAACTATCATCTGTGTTTGATGAACTGTCTGGCTGCTCAACTGAAATCCAGGACATTCTTTCTTTTTCTAATGGCTCTTTTCCATGACATGTCTTACGTTTATCCTCACTGTTGTCAGAGTCCAGATCTTCAATATCAGCAGCCTGAGGAAAAAAATCATCCGGCATGCTGGATTCATCATCCAACTGAAGAGAACTGTATTTTCCCTTTTGCAAATGTTTACTTTCTTTAGACTCCTCTTTCAGTTTTTTCTTCCCATCTTTGACTTCTCCCTTTTTTTTATTTGTATCTTTTATATCTTCTCTCCTCTGTTTTTTGAAATCTTTTGTACTTTCCTTTAACTCTGAAGTCCTTTTTTTTGGTTTTGAATCTGAAGCCAAACTATCAGAAGAATTTTCACATTCTAGTCCAGGTCTCTCTTTACCTTTTGCTGATTTAGACTTTTTCTTTTGCATCTCATTGTGGCTTTTGTCCTCCTTTTCTTTAGATTTTTTCTTTTTCTTCTTTGGAGAAACATCTCCTTTTGTATCACTTTGCCAATCACTGTCTGCTTCAGAATCTGCTTCAAAAAGATCATCATTTAAAGGCAGTTTCTAGAGAAGAGGAACATAAAGGTGGTTATTTAACAGATGTGCTTAAGCTAAACATACAGCCCTGAACAAAAGGCAAGACAATAGCATCTTCAGGTACTCGATGCCTGCTCCCTTAGATAATTATGTCAAGATTTTTATAGAAGGAAGGAAACGGCCAGAATCCAAAGATTAGAGGTTTGGGGCATTCTCCTTATGATTTCAGAATTCCTTCTCTTTAACTAGTTAAGCAAAACGTTAACTTTTAAAAGCAAGCTTTGTTTCAAGGAGCTTGCCTTGTGATAAAGGAAGCTTCTATTTAACTTATTTTTTACACAAAATATTATAACTTTCTAAATTATTATTCTATTATACATTTTATTAAGCACATTAAAATAAACATATTTGTGAAGCATGACATACAAGAATAAAGTACAACAATTATCATACGTAAATTATATATAATGGACAAGATCCTACTGATTATTTACACTTGTGTAAGGGAACTCATGGCAGTGACAATTTGAATGTAGGCCCAGTAACATATCCAGCACTTTATTAATGAGCATCAATTTAGTGCCATATCGTATGCATCATCCCTTGCACAAGCATGAGTTGTCTACAGAATTCTGGCCAATATATAATCATATATTATATATTGAAAGCAGTTGTTAAAAAAAAAGTTAAAATTCTACCCATTCCAAATTCAGTTACATGGTTCTTCGGTTTGGAACCGTCAAACTCCTAAAAGTCTCCACCACATATATTTAGCATGTGTGGCAGGAATGAGCATTCAGATTCAGAAATATTCAGAATTCACTCAACAATGCCATATTCAGATAGTTCTGAATACATCTGAAGCTGAATTTGATCATTCCAAATATCTGTAATAATAATTCCTAATATTCAGAGTTGTATTTGCACCTGTAGGCTAGAAAGCAAAGTTTTTTTGTCTACTAGATGACGAGGAAGTGAAAGTGAAATCTCTTTCTCAGGTATCGTGGACTGACTTCCTGAGAAATACACTCTGGCACCATGAGTACTGGGGTTGTGATGATTCCCCCAAGGGAGAATTAATAGATTCATAGACTAATATGTTATAAATCAACTGATAAAAATTCTCTAAGATATAAGGCCCTGGGTCTAACAGACTTTTTAATGCCACTTGTTATGCAGTAGTATGTTATGCCATCATTTAAAGTGTCTCTGAGACATCCCAAATAAAGATCAGCTATGCTAGTAGGTCTTTCCTGACAACTTTCTTAGTCACATCCTACAGCAGAAGCCATGGTCCACAGAGAGCTTTCAAAGCATCAGAGGGATCTCATTGTTAAAAAGGTATCAGTCAAGAGAAGTGTATAAAAGAATTTCTAAGGCATTAGATATACCATGGAACACAGTGAAGACAGTCACCGTCAAGTGGAGAAAATATGGCACAACAGTGACATTACTAAGAACTGGACGTCCCTGCAAAAATGATGAAAAGACTGGAAGAAAATTGGTCAGGGAGGCTGCCAAGAGGCCTACAGCAACATTAAAGGAGCTGCAGGAATATCTGGCAAGTCCTGGCTGTGTGGTACATTTGACAACAATCTCCCGTATTCTTCATATGTCTGGGCTATGGGGTAGAGTGGCAAGGCGGAAGCCTTTTCTCACGAAGAAAAACATCCAAGCCCGGCTAAATTTGGCAAAAACATATCTGAAGTCTCCCAAAAGCATGTGGAAAAAATTGTTATGGTCTGATGAAACCAAGGTTTAACTTTTGACCATAATTCCAAAAGATCTGTTTGACACAAAAAAAACAACACTGCACATCACCAAAAGAACACCATACCCACAGTGAAGCATAGTGGTGGCAGCATCATGCTTTGGGGCTATTTTTCTTTAGTTGGGACAGGGACCTTAGTCAAGCTAGAGGGAATTAGGAATAGTTCCAAATACCAGTCAATATTGGCACACACCTTCAGATTTCTGCTGGAAATCTGAATGTGAGGAGGAACGTCATCTTCCAGCATGACAACAACCCAAAGCATACATCTAAATCAAAAAAGGCATGGCTTCACCAGAAGAAGATTAATGTTTTGGAATGGCCCAGTATTAGTATTAGTAAAAGTATTAGTTTAAGGGTGCGCACACATATGCAACCATATTATTTCAGTTTTTTATTTTTACTTCCCTCCACCGAAAAGATTTCAGTTTGTTTGGCAAGAGAAGAAGGGGACGACCGAGGATGAGATGGCTGGACAGTGTCTGCGAAGCAACCAACATGAACCTGACACAACTCCGGGAGGCAGTAGAAGACAGGAGGGCCTGGCGTGCTCTGGTCCATGGGGTCACGAAGAGTCGGACACGACTAAACGACTAAACACACGTTCAACTGAGTTGTACAGTTCATAGGTCTCATTAAAGGTGGGATTTTGCAGCCCAGGCAAGCACACTCCTCTCTCCTCTTTTTTGTAATGCTTGCTGCTTGGGGCCATTTGAGCTGGCCTCCCTCTTCCCTCTGCCCAAGCTGCTCCCGCCCCCACTGAAAGAAGCCTCCACCAGCCTCCACCGAGGCTGCCTCACCTCCAAGACACCACCACCACCAGCAGAGGATTACCCCCTCCCTCTTTTTGTGATGGCTGCCGCTGTGTCCTCGCGGCCCAGCTGATGTCTCCTCGCAGACCGGCACCGGGCTGCAGACCGGGGGTTGGGGACCGCTGAGATACATCATGTTTTAGTCTCCTGCCTCCTCCTTTTGCTTTTTTCATTCTTCCAACTGCTACTCTAAGATTGTGTTCACTCACTCAACTGTGCTATGCCCCAAGCTGTTGGCACAGTTCTCAGGATATCTGCTGCTCCAATCTGCCTGCAGCACTGCCTAGAGTATTAGTCCACTTCCCAGTGCAACCTGTCCTCTGCTACTTTAATGCTGCTGATATTCCAACTATTTAGGGCTCAATCATTATGCCCATTACAGTCATTTCCTAATACCTAGGCCAGTGCTGATGAACTTTTTTGAGCCCGAGTGCCCAAACTGCAACACAAAATCAACTTATTTATTTCAAAGTGCCAACACTGCAATTAAAACCCAAATACTGAGGCTTTAGTTTAGAAAAAACAACTGCTCCTGTACTGCAAAGGTTAAATGCTTGTGTGTGTGGTTTTTTTTCCTATGGGCAGTATTAACAAAGAAATACTTGCTGGACCTCCAATCTCCCATTGGGCTAGATCGGTAGTGGTCGACACTGCACCCCTCTGCTGAACCACTGCACCAGCAGAGGGGAGTGCCAACATCTAGGATTGGAGGATGGGTAAGTATTTCTTGATGGTGACTTACGGCTCGCATGCCCACAGAGAGGGCTCTCTGTGTGCCAGCTGTGGCATATGGGCCATAGGTTCGCCATCGCTGAGTCCTAGGCATTGTTGGCTGTTGGTGTACCCATTTTCTTTAGCACAATCACTGAGAAGGTGTCACAGGACACAGGGAAATCCTTTAAAAATGTTTTGCTTGTTTGCGTGTATTTTAAAAAGGGAAATAATGACAATATAGTATTCATATTGGATGTAACAGAGTCTTGGATATCTGGAAATATCAATTTTTCTTCAATTCTAAATTCTGATTCCAATGTACTATAATTCCACAATCTGAATGTTTTGGCTAGTACATACCTCTAATGTGTAGGAAAATGCAAAGTGAATATGCTTGCTTATTTATCTATTATACAAGCTGCCTGTGTTCTCAGGGTGGCATATAACGTATAATATAATACCAAGACAATTAACATTAAAAACAAAGTAAGGAAAGCCAGCAATAGGCTCTCAGCTAAAACCATATGAAATGAAAACAATTTATATGGGCCATGCCTAACAGAAAATATAAAGGGAGCTAACAGCATCTTTTGAAGCAAGTAGTTAATACTAGAAGTACACACGTTCCTTTAAAAAAGACCTGCCCCTCATGCACTAACTGCTCCTAGGACATGACACAACCTAATTTGATGCTGCACTAACTTCATCTAGATATCTGATTATGGAAACTTGTCCAAAACTGTAAAGAGCTTTGAAGATCAATACCACCACTTTGAATTCAACATGGAAGGACATTTATAGTTATCATTCCAGATAATAAAAGCCAATCTATTAAGACATCAGTCTTGGTTTTGTGATATAGCTGGATATAGCTTTCACTGGTCTTAAAATGAGAAGTCTTTATTAATGACTTTCCAGGGGAGGGTTGTAAGGAAACGCCATTACTAAGATTTGGAAATGCTTCCAATGCTCGATGTATCTGAATTCCCTTTCTTCCAAATCAATCTATATGGCAACAGAATATAATCTATATGTAACTAAATAATCATGATTCCATTTTACTATTCATATTTAAATCTTTTTTTAAAGTCATGCATCTCAAACAACTGATGCTTTTACGAAGTAGAATAAATCAAAATCATAATAATAAAGTAATACTTTTATCAAGAAGAGTCAACAAACTCTTATAAGCTAATTTTTAAGATAACAAAAGACATATCTAGACTTCAGGGGTCAAAAAATTAAGTGAATAGATGAAATTCTGTTCACAAAAGTTATACTATATAAAGTCAATGACATCATCAGCCGGGCTGTTTTTTTCAGAAAGTACAAATCTGTTTCTGTCCTGAGGCAGTCATGACACCCAGGTAATCACTTTCATTACTGGGAACTAATGGGGGGGGGTGTTTCCATTGAATGGGATAAGAAAATCTTTAATTACTGAAAATTGCAACATCAGAATGAAACTGGCTCAGTTGATGTCATCAGCCATATACAATGTAAGGTCTGCGAACAGGATTTCAGCCACCATAAGACAGCTCCAGAAACTTGCCCTCTGTCAGTTGTGCTTACTTTTGACTAATATACACAAGAGTACAACAATGCTTACAGCTGTAACCTCCCACAACATTTCCTCGAACCTTCCTCCACTTAGCATGAATACTGGCCATGCAGGCTGAGGGATTTTAGGAACTAGAGCAAAGGTGCAACTTGAATATGACTTTATTTTCCTTTCTACTTCCTCTGACCAGTTTGCTGAGGCATTAAACAGGTGACCTGTACCACTTCTCTTGCTTAAGATCTTTTTCACATAATTTTTATTTCTTTAAATATACAGTGGTGCCCCGCACAGCGAGGTTAATCCGTTCCGGATTAACCTTCGCTGTGGGAAACATCGCACTACGGAACACAAAAAGGCATTGGAACGCATTAAACAGCGTTTAATGCGTTCCAATGCCAAAGAATACTCCCCATTGTGCGATGTTTCCCAGGGGCCGGCAGCCATTTTCGCGCCCTCCCCTCGCACGAGGGCGCCAAAATGGCTGCCATCAGCTGTCCGGCGGGTCCAAAATGGGCACCGGAACAGCTGAAAGGGGTGGGGGCGTAGCGTTTTCGCGCCCTTGGTAAGCAAGGGGAGCGCGCGAAAACGCTGCCGGAAGCCCCGAAATGGTTGCGCGCAAGTTTCATGTCACTTTTATAGATAACACAGTTTTCAGAGTTATAATGACAAAGCCTTTTGGGGGGGCTCACCTTAACTAAAGAAGTACTCCTGTGCCCCTTTAATTTTTAAGGGTTATCCTAAGAACACAACTACCATAGTTGATCCAGATAATGTGGCTTGTCCGAACAACGGAAGAGAAATAGACAGATTATCTGCAGATACAATGTATATTCTTTACTATAAGAAATAATTATGACCATTTAGTCAACTATCAACTACTTGACCTGATTAGCCCAAAGTCATTTGTTATCTATTACACTGAACTGCCCTGAAATGGTAGAAGAGAGACACTGCAGCTAACCAGCTGAACGCTGGTTACAGAAACCTGGATTATACAAAATAGGCTTACAGCTAACTCTGAGTAGGAAGTTATTACCAAAATCAAACATACCTGTATCTCTTTTTTAGTTGGCTTAGGCTTAGCCTCCACTATTTTGTTTTGGAACTCAAGAAGTACTTCTCTACAGTCTTCCAAATGTTCTTCAGGTTCCCATGTGTCGTCATCTGGTGGATAGCCTTTCCATCGTACTTTGTAGAGTATTTTACCCTGACAAAGCAAAGACAATGTATAACTAAAATGATTTTAAATATTTCTTTATTTTATTTTTATTTTGGGTTAAAAGATAATCTGTGGGAAGATATTCCAAATCCAGGCATTTCTCTATAGCTGTGGACATCTGTCACTGGATACGGATATAGTTGGTAGTAAGCTGTGGTGCTGGAGGAGACTCTTGAGAGTCCCCTGGGCTGCAAGGAGAACAAACCTATCAATTCTGAAGGAAATCAATCCTGAGTGCTCACTGGAAAGACAGATCCTGAAGCTGAGGCTCCAATACTCTGGCCATCTCATAAGAAGAGAAGACTCCCTGGAAAAGACCCTGATGTTGGGAAAGTGTGAAGGCAAGAGAAGGGGATGATAGAGAATGAGATGGCTGGACAGTGTCATCAAAGCGACCAACATGAATTTGACCAAACTCCGGGAGGCAGTGGAAGACAGGAGGGCCTGACGTGCTCTGGTCCATGGGGTCACAAAGAGTTGGACACGACTTGCAGAGCAATTAACAAAGGATTGGAAATCATTCTTGTTATCTAGGCTGTGTGGACATAATTTAGCAAAGCATCTCTAGATACAGTTGGCAAGAAGTAGGGAGTGTCAGAATCTTCACATACTATATCTATGCACTGCTGAGTGACAGGTATGGGGAAGTAAAGAAACTTATCTTAGGTTTTTAGAATAACATATCTACAGTACAGCCCATTGCTCTTAAACAGGATTTTAATATTGTCCTTTAACCATTTAGACCAGTGGTCCCCAACCTTGGGCCTCCAGATGTTCTTGGACTACACCTCCCAGAAGCCTTCACCACCACCTCTGCTGGCCAGGATTTCTGGGAGTTGAAGTCGAAGAACATCTAGAGGCCCAAGGTTGGGGACCACTGATTTAGACAATGGATGTACTGTATCTCCATACAGAGAGATAAAAATATAATACATCAATTTTGTCATGATAGCTTCCCCAAAGAAATACAGGAATTGTAAATTGAGTTAACAAGAGGTATAGAAATGGCTGTTACATCAATTTAGGTCTATGGCATCGCTACTGCCTACATGTAGCACGAATATCCAAAAACAGCATGTTTCAGATGATGGGCAGGGTTGTCCCGAATGGATATGTATTGCACAATGCATCTTTATGCCCCAAAACAAATTATTTTAAAACTGTGTACAGGGGAATGGGAGAAAGTCATTCTGAGAGAAGCCCATCCCCCTGGGCATGGATGGGCATTACTGGTCTAGTTGGCAGCATTTTCTGGCTGTGAAAGAAGAAAGTTTGAAAATACTGACTCTCAGTGATGCAACCAGTAACTACTACTTTTTCAAAGAACGGGTCATTCTGTTCTCTAATAATCCCCATGGGGGACACTTTTGGTTTTTCAGTTCCTTCCTTCCTTCTTGACAACCTTGGACCACACACTTTCTGGAAAACGATAATTTGCTTATTCTCTGTTGGTTAGCCTGTCAACATGTTTTAATTTGTTCCTTTGCTATTTAGACTGTTCAAAGATAAAACAGGCTTTTGCTATATGAAACATGTTTTGGAAAGTAAGCTTATCGAGAATTTTTAAAGGGAAACATACCCTATTATCTCCTCAGAACCTGACATAGAACAGAAATATTTTCTCTTCTTTCTCCTCATCCTTTCCTCCTTTATTATTCCTCCTTGAACCACGTTGCCATCATCCCTCCCCAAGACTCTGGAGACACTGATGCGCCAAAACCAACAGTCTTACGGCACCTTAAACAATCTAGGGGGGCTACTCTCGTGGAAATTTCGGAGAGACTGAGGACAGGGTCCCCTCCCCGCCGCCGCCCCCCTTTTGCAGCCCAAGGCGAGGAAACAGAGCATCCTCTCCACTGCCCGGTCTGCCGCTTCCCGAGGCCCGCCCCCCTCCAGACTCACATCTTCGGTTTTCACGTCCAAGATTTTCTCCACCTCATACACATCCTCCTCGTCCTCACTGTCGCCGGCGGCTCCTGCCACCGGCCCTCCTCCTCCCGCCTCACCGCTCTTTGGGTGCTCGTTGCTTCCAGCCGCTGCCTCTTCCTCCTCAGACCCGCTCACAGCCGCCGCCATGTTTGGGCCAATTTTTCAAACAGCACCACGAAAGAGTCGCTGCGTCACAGCCGCTCCTTTCCTCCTCCCCCCCCCCGCCTCCTGCCCGACTCGGGTAACGCCAGGGGAAGGACCTAATGGATAGCTAGAAGAGCAGCGCAGGCCTCCACCGCCTATCAACCCGTCACGAAGTCCGTGACGTTAGCACAACACTCGCCAATCAAAAGCCTTCATTTTGAGGAGGCGGCTACCAGGATGGGACGCAGAAACACCCGCGAGCAGGGGCTGCCGGGAAGAGTGGCAGGAAGAAACGAAAGGGATAATAGAGCCAGCGACGTCCTTTTAAACATCGGATACCGAGTCGAGTTTACTGATTCAGATCCCCCATTTTTTGTTTGTTTGTTTACTCAAGTGGAAATGCTAGTTTATCATTTGACTTGCAACCAGGATTTTATTATGCTTGATCAGCAGGCTCCTCTTTAAAACGAAAACGCTAACAAACTAAATCTGTAGTAATGTTGCTCTTTGCAAGTTGAGTCTTCGTGTGCATTAAAACGTTAACCTCATTTTTTTCCGTTTTTGAACATTTAAATTTCTGCATGATCCAAGACAGACTTCCCAGGTTCCTCAGCCGAAATGTTCTCTTCCTTCCCGCACTTTTTCCCCATAATTATTTTAACTTGGAATTATCAGTTGTAACACTGTTTTTAATTTCTTCTTGCTTTTTGTATTTTATATGTTATATTATTTCTTAGCATTTATTTATTCTTAATTTTTTTTTAAGGACGCCCTGTCTCCTACAAATCTGTAAGGCTCAAACCTTAGTGGATTTCACCTGGGACGGAATGTAGGCGAACAGTTTTCATAGAATAACCTTTGCTGCATTTGAGGGGATGTTTTTGAAGGGGAGTTTCAGCTGAATATGTAACCCTCTTTCATTCTCAACTCTAACTTTCAATATTAACAGTAGACGCAGCTGAATATGTAACCCTCTTTCATTCTCTAACTTCCAATATTAACAGTAGACATCACATTGTGTGGGATGCTGTCTTAATTTACTCTGTCCCAGCACAACATCCCTGCAAGATAAGTGTGACACTGGTGTAATGCTTTCAGCCCTAGTGTGTTCCTCAGCTTTTGGCTGTATAATGCAACTGAGTGACTATACTGTACTAATCTCCTACCCCAGACCCCTCTATTTTACAATATAAGTGGTTTACACTGTCAGTTTTTACATGATTGGGGGGGAGGGAAGTAAAATTTTGCTTTACAATGTTGGGGAGAAAATAATCAGATTTGTTAACGCAAAATAAGATCTATCACAGGGAGCCTGGATAATAACTTTTTGTTAATATCATTCATGTCTCATTGCTGTGACAAGTAAAATGACAACCATAAGACAAAAAAGATAATAGGCCAAAATGTTGTTGGAAGTCTTAGGTAAAGTTTCCCCTTGACAATTTTTGTCCAGTCGTGTTCAACGGGGCGGTGCTCACCCCCATTTCCAAGCCATAGAGCCAGCGTTTGTCCGGAGACAACCTTCCGTGGTCACATGGCCAGTGCAACTTAGACACAGAACGCTGTTACCTTCCCACCAAGGTGGTCCCTATTTATCTACTTGTGTTTGCATGCTTTCGAACTGCTAGGTTGGCAGTCTTAACTGTCTCCAATCCACAATTCTAGATGGACGATACTCTGGCACTCCTTACGAAAAAAGATTGTGCCCTTGTAAGGATAGAGAAACAGAAACTTTGAAGCACATCCTTTTGGAGTGTGATTTTTACAGAAATGAGCGTACTGTATTAAACTCCTCAAGCCCATAATGAATGTCTTCCCAGGTAGGAATCTGATTTGGTATACGAAATGTTTATTAAGTGACACAAACAAGTTAACCACCGAATCAGTGGCCGAATTCCTTCTCTCTGCTCAAAAAATATGAAAAACAATGTTGACCTCGACCTAACCCCATCATAAAAACAAAAATAAAAAAACAAAATATGGGTAATCTATTTTATCAGTTTTATTGTTTTAGCTGTTTTGAAATGTTTTAATCGCTTTCATCTATTTTAAATATCACATGTATGTATTTTAATGGATCAGAGTCTGCAGAATTAAGATTGATTAATTGTATATAATATTAATACCAAAGCAATGTATGGATAACCTATCTTATTACTTTATACTGTTTTAACTGTCTTGAAATGTTTTAACTGCTTCCTCTTATTTTAAATATTAATATTACATTAAAACATGTTAGTCTTAAAGATGCTACAAGACTTCTGGTCTTGTACCATCAACTGGAGTTGACTTGATGGCACAAAATTCCTGTATTTTTTCATGCATAAGACTATACTTTTATCTCTAAAATCTTTAGACTAAAAATTGAGGGTTATCTTATACATGGAAGTAAGCTGAGGCGAGAGAGAAAAACAAGTGGAGGGGAAAGCAGGGATCAAAGTAATCCTGCAGGGCTTTGATCCCTGCTTTCCCCTCCACTTGCTAAGCTTTAGCAAAAGGAAAGCAGGGATCAAAGCACAGCAGGATGCTTACTAAGTCCAGTGGGGCTTGGCAAGTGTAGGGGGAAAGATTCAAAGCAATCCCATGGCTGTATAAGGAGGAAAGGGATCAAAACAATTATGCAGTCACAAGATTGCTTTGATCCCTTTCCCCCTTTTGCTAAGCCCCGTAGGGCTTAGCATGAAGGGAGAAAGCAGGCATCAAAGCAATCCTGCAGTGCTTTGATCCCTTTCCCCCTACACTTGCTAAGCCCCACTTAGATTTCTTAATTTTGAGTTAGAAAGTGGGGGCATCTTAGACACTGAAACATATAGTACTATTATTACAATCCACTCTGCTGATTAACAGTTTCCCTGGTTTACCTGGAGATTGTGGTAACCTTAGAAGGGGTATTAATTACACAGTTTCAGAGAGTTGAACATGCCATCTTATATTTTATTGGGCTACTTGTTGTTTTATGACTTCCAAAACAGTCATAGGGATGTTTCTAATTGTATCAGCCAGAATGCATCTAACTCAATATATTCTAAATGAGCTTTTGTACTGGCTGGTGTGATGGGATGATCAATAAGAAAAAAGCCCTTAACAAAATACATGTCATTCGTAAGCTACTCTGATTTTTGTTGATATCTGGCATGTGTAATACACCATAGAACCATCTTGTTATGATGAGTTAATGCCCTGTTTTCATATGTCCTATCTTCACATATTTATAACTCTCTAAATTGTTTTGGTTTCTTCAATCAGTAAACATTCCTTATCTGCAGGATTTGCATGTTTTAAAATCCTAGAAGCCCAGCAAAAATTTTGAATACAAAACTCTATTGTACCCACAATTTTTGTGACTCTAGGGCATTGTTTCCCCTTTTGGGAATCATTACCCCTTCCAAGGAGTAGCAAAGTTCCTTTAGATGGTTTGTAGAAGTATTAAATGGCTGAGTGCTGGAGTAATGTATTAATGTGTATAAATAAGGTTTTGCTGAAATTTTTAAGTTCCAGAGATTCAATACACTAGAAGGTTAGATTCTTGAAATAGCGACAAACCATGAAACGAGCAAAATGGATTTCACTATAGCTTTGTTAGCTTTTTCACTTCTCTTTAGAATTTGACATAAAATATATAAGTTACTATAGGCTGTATTACTGATTGTACGAAGTTTCTTTTTAGTTGAATTAATTCAGTTCCATACCTCCCTTTTCTTTTGGTATCGTCCTGCATATCAACAACTTTACAAAATATGGCTAGCCATGTAAAGCATTACTAAAAAAAGCAAAAATTTCCTGAGACATTTTTTTTGAATCTACTTTATTGAAACTTTTTTTGCATTTTTAAATGTAATATAGTCCATGTGCACACAGAAAGAAGGAAAACTGTTTCATTACATGCTTATGAAACAGAAATCAAAATCATTGTTATTCTTCTGGTATTTGACAGGAATATTTGTGCAAGCGTGATGAAATTATACTTAAATGTGGAGAGAAATACTACAGATTAGACTGAGAGATTAAGTCCAAATTATTCATCTTAATTTGAAACAATGGCATTTACAAAACTATTGACTTACATATATAATTAATTCAACAGGTCTAATCTAGTTGGGAGTAAAAATTGGATTTAGGCCTGTGTTTCTGGATGATTCATACACTCGTACTTTTTTGGCAGCTATGTGGAATATTGATTTTATACACTCTAATCTCATGCCTCCATTAAAAAATAGTACTCTGGACAGCTAACAAATAAAAACAAACTAAAGAATAAAGGCATTACAATCTTCACAATGCCATATGATAACAGATAAGAAAAAGATATTGCTTTATATATATGAAAATATATGAGTGTGTCATTTTCCTAGTTTTTGTCCAGTTACTCAATACCAAGCAACTTCTTCGTGGCAGAATCCCAGTCTTTCCCAAGTTCAAGACGTTGGCAAATAGCTGGAAATTCTCGGTCAGTTTTCCTTGCCCATTCAGCTGCTTTGTTTACTGGATAATATACCCTGTGAATAGTGAAGAGAAAGGAGGATTATCATATTGATTGGCAAACAGCAAGTTGATTACAAAGTCAAGCAGCAAAGACTGTTTTCTGTTCCACAGAATGGATTTACAGTTAACAGAAAACTAGATTTAATGGGCTTAAGGTTACGGAAGAGAAGATTTCAGCTGAATACTAGGAAAAAAAATCCTTAACAGATTAGATCCATATTTAGGGCAACCCACTGATGGCAATGGAATTTTAACTTTGTTTCAAAAACGTACCATGAACGTGGAGAATCATTCAGTTTTGTTAAATATTTGAAGACTAGGCCTTCCAATTTCTTGAAACGTACAACTTGCAGCACCAGGAGTGTGGCTATCAACCGCAAGAGCTTCTCCTTTCCCTTTGGTCCTAGAAATGGGGAAGGGGGGAAGAACAGTACTTCAAACTTGATACTACTTGAAGCAGTATAAAGTTCATGGTCAGAGGCTATTGATGTTTGTGGAAAGTCTTGTGTAACTTGCTATGCTAATTGTGGCCAACTGATGAAGTGCCAGGGTGCATCTCAGTTTGGTTGTACATTTCATTGTGCATCCTACTGTGTAAAGAAGATGTGTCCTGGGACTTCATCATTTACCAGCAATTAACCACAATAAGTTACACAAACAAGAGGATTCCAGTCAGTTTTTTATAATTGTTCTAATCAGAAAAGCTGTAATTATGAGGTAGCAATGTATAATTAATTGCTGTCAAATAGTGATTGTTCAAACAGTAGAATTGTTTATCTGAGTACAGAACACTTTTATTTTTTTGAATTAGTTGAACATTATTGTGAATCAAAATCTTTGTTCACCAACAACTCCACCAATTTTTCTATTTTTGAGATTGTCACACTTATCTCCCTCTGTCAGTTTTACAGGAAATAAGTATTCTGAAAAGCTACCTGAGTACGCTATCTTGTGGATGCATTCATTCATTCATTCATTCATTCATTCATTCATTCATTCATTCATTCATTCATTCATTCATTCATTTAACTGCCCAGCCGACTAAAGGCCACTCTGGGCAGTTTACAAGAAACACAAACAACATAATTAAAGTATAATTTAACAGAACAGAAAATACAAATAAACAATACAATCAAAAGCATTAAAGTACCTTTGCATAAAAAACCTGTGCATTCTTAACAATCATATATACCCTTAGACCACTTACAGTATATCAGAGGAGTACACTCCCTCACATTTCATAAATATTTTAGTATATCTTTTCATGTGACAACGTGGGCGAGTGACAATGTCCAAAAAGGGCCCAAGTAGCTGTTTTCCCTCCCTGGTGTCATGAGACCCATTAGTGTCATAAGTCTCAGGTATGAAGGGAAGCAGGTGTTATCGCTCTCACTCATTCAGACTGGTGATTGGAAATTCCACATTGCACCTCACAGTAATGAACTACCTGAGGATCTGAAAAAATGAATTGTTGCTCTACATAAAGATGCCCTAGGCCAGTGGCAGCAAACCTTTTTTGGGCTTGCATGCCGAAACTAAAAAGAAAAGAAAAGAAAAAAAGAAACAGCGAGTGATGTGCTGCCAGAGCGGAACTGGAAGTGGCGTGGAAGGGGAAATCCCGGCACAGAGGTGCCTTGAGACCCCACTCAAGATCCACTGCCAGCACCAGCTGTTCTGGATCCACCTGATGAAGCCCCAGCACCATGGCTGCAGCCACCTTCTCAGGTTTGGCTGCACGGGGGGGGGGAGTAGCGAGCTGGCAGAAAGGGCTCTGCACGCCAGCTGTGGCATGCGTGCCATAGGTTTGCCATCGCTGCTCTAAGCTATAAGAAGATTGCCAAAATCCTGAAACTAAGCTGCCACAAGGTGGCCAAGAGCATACAGCAGTTTAACAGGACAGGTTCCACTCAGAAGAGGCCTCGCCATGGTCAGCCAAAGAAGTTGAATGCCTATGCTCAGTGTCATCTCCAGAGGCTGGCTTTGGGAAATGGACATATGAGTGCTGCTAGCATTGCTGCAGAGGCTGAAGCGGTGGGGGGGTCAGCCTGTCAGTGTTCAGACCATACACTGAACACTGCATCAAACTGGTCTCCGGCACTGTTGTCCCAGAAGGAAGCCTCTTCTAATGATGATGCATAAGAAAGCCCACATACAGTTTGCTGCAGACAAGCAGACTAAGGACATAGATTTCTGGAACCATGTCCTGTGGTCCGGCGAGACTAGGATAAACTTTACTCAGATGGTGTCAAGCATGTGTGGCGGCAACCAGGTGAGGAGTACAAAGACAAGTGTGTTGTGCCTTCAGTCAAGCATGGTGTCATGGTCTGGGGCTGCATGAGTGCTGCCAGCACTGGGGAGCTACAGTTCATTGAGGGAACCATGTATGCCAACCTGTACTGTGACATACTGAAGCAGAGCATGACCCCCTCCGTTTGGAGACTGGGCCACAGGGCAGTATTCCAACATAACGACCCCAAACACACCTCCAAAACGACCACTGCTTTGCTAAAGAAGCTGAGGGTAAAGGTGATGGACTGGCCAAGCATGTCTCCAGACCTAAACCCTATTGAACATTTGTGGGGCATCCTGAAACAGAAGGTGGAAGTGCGCAAGTTCTCTAACATTCACCAGCTCTGTGATGTCGTCATGGAGGAGTGGAAGAGGACTCCAGTGGCAACCTGCGAAGCTCTGGTGAATTATATGCCCAAGAGGGTTAAGGCAGTGCTGGAAAATAATGGTAGCCACACAAAATATTGACACTTTGTGCCCAGCTTGGACATTGTCACTTAGGGGTGTACTCACTTTTGTTATTAAAATAATGGTGGCCACACAAAATATTGACACTTTGTGCCCAGCTTGGACATTGTCACTTAAGGGTGTACTCACTTTTGTTGCCAGCGGTTTAGACATTAATGGCTGTGTGTTGTGTTATTTTGAGGGGACAGCACATTTACACTGTTATACAAGCTGTATACTCACTACTTTACGTTGTAGCCAAGTGTCATTTCTTCAGTGTTGTCACATGAAAAGATATGCTAAAATATTTATGAAATGTGAGGGAGTGTATTCACTTCTTTGATACACTGTAACTGTTTTAATTTCTATGCTTTTTCTGTTTTTAAGTTTTTGTATTTTCTTCAATTTGACAAAAACTAACACAATGAGAAGACAGAATGAGGCTTAGAGGTGATTTAGCTCCTCAAAGCTCCATAGAGCTCCTGACTGAGCTCCTCTTCCCAAAGCTGAAGGCTTTTCCAGGAGTCAGAAAAGTTATTAATTAATTAATCTGCGCTATATACTTAGCATGGCTGAGGTACATATTAGCACTGTTTATCAAAATTGATCCCCAAGGCAACCCTTCTGTATCCAAATCCTCGTATTAAAGTATTTGGTTCAATCAGAAATGCCCACTAGAAATATTCTTTTCCAGGAAACTTAATAATAGTAATTTTAGACCTGCAGAGCTGGAAGTGACCAAGTGGGGAATCAAACTTAAAAGACAGGAGACTTGTCATTCACTTTTTAAGTCTTGCAAAACTGAAAAAGTTTGGTTACAACTTTAAAGCAAAGGAAAAAAAAATAGGAAATCATTACTAGAAACTGATAAATATGGTGGCAAACTGAAGAAAGGTGGTGAATATACTGAATTAACAGTGTTGACAGTACTATTGCTGTCATTACTAACAATAAGAATAATGGGATTTACCAAGTGACCGAATTCCCTTTTTTGCCAGTGTGACGTTAACTAAATGATCAATGTCAAAGTCCAAAAGGCTTCCAAGCTCAGGGGTTAACTCCCAAAATCCGTCCTGTAAAATAAAATACATTTCTCAAAATATACTATAGAGAAATCTCTTTGTGCAACCGTTGGCTGGATCTTGCAGCTCCTTTGGATTGTTCTTTATTTTTACAAGAAAAACGAGCCACAAGTTCATTTTGGGAAATCTGATCATTTCAGAGGCTCTCCTTTGGGTACTGCCATTATCTGAAATAAGAGTGATTTAGGCAGAGCTGTGGCATCCAGGATGATGATACGGAATGGCCTCCTAAGAGATATGTCTGATATATTTGCTTTGGGCATAGGTAGTAAAATAAAGGGGAAAATTTGCTACACCAGTTCCAAGATCAACAAAATTCCTGGATCAGGTCTGTTTGGGGGATACAGCCATTCTCCAATCTCAAGCTGTCACACCTGATACTACCAGCCACAACCTTCCTGGTACAGGGACCTTTACTGAGCCACCCCCATCCCTTTTGTTAGTGGGCAGTACAGAAGAGACACTAATGTGCCATCCTAATTCTGTCAAAACAATGGGGGAAGACAAACGTTTTCACTTGCTTGAATTTGGTTCTCACTGAAATAAATGGGATTTACTGTAAGTCATGGCCAACTTCTCTTGGTGATTTCGATGGGACCTTTACTCAACAAATTTACACATCAATTCTACAGAAGTAGTTGTGGGATCTTGTGTCAGCCAGAAAATGGGAGAAAGGCTCTATCCCACTGTTGCTATCAAATGTATACCCACACTCTAGTTAGGGAAGTCCACTGTCTAGTAATCTAAGACAGTACCATACACTCCAAACATTCAGACACATTTAAATTAATTAAGGTCATTAATGTTTTTGAAAAACTAAAACCCCTCCAGTATGCATCTGCAAGTTCTCCTTAACCAAACGTCAGACGGCTAAATGTCATAATATTGGATTTATACCTCTGACAGACAAGAAGAAGACAGGAACTATTTTTATTATCGCATTACATTAAATTGGCTTTTTTCACTAAATAATTTTTCCACACAATTGAAATAAAAATGGCAACCTTTCCTCCTATGGTACAAGAGGAACTGTACTCTTAGGCTTCTTCTGTAAAGTAGGAAGCCATATTTAATGTATTTTTCTCTCTCTTAAAACTGGTATAGAAAATAAACTTTCATTACCTGATTCTGAAGATTAAAGAGTTGACGCCAAGATATAGTCTGTGGTGGCTTCTGTGCACTGACTGTTACTGTACTCAGCGACAGTAGTTTTTTTTTCTTAAGCTGCTTCTTAAAGCTCCCACAAATATCCTTGAAAGAAAGAGGCAAACGTCTACAACACAGTATTTTCTCCAGAGCTGTTTCTTGAGGGGAGGGAAATTCTGCCCTATTAGAACTAGCCTGCATTAACAATTGCTCAATCCTGTGGCAACAGCAAAGGTTAGTAAATTAATTAATTTTTATACGGCAACTCTTTGAATCCTCATGGGTCAACTACAACGTGGTATGAGCGATTCGAAGAGATACGACCCTTTCCCAAAAGCCTTTTCCAAGTCCTGTATCATTAAAGCTGATGTTGTAAGGCTGGAAAAGCAGCTTTTTGAAAGGGATAACTGGTCATTTGGGGGGGGGGGTGACAGAGTGAGAACAGGAGGAAAAATCCTATGCTCATCAATAGCTCTGGTTCCCAGACTCTTGACGGATACTATCTCTGCTTAGGACTTCTTCCACTCCCCTTTAGACAAGAGTAAGAATATTATTCTATACACCTAGCGAAATTCATGATCCCAAATTATTCAAAAGGGAAACTATATTAAGAATAAAACTTCTTTTAGACAATCAAGATAATAATCATGATTTACTATCTGTGAATTTTTCTGAGATCTACCTACAGAATATACAAGAGAGGGAAGATATTCTGACTAACCTCTGAAATTTCATTTACTATTTCTTCATCTTCCACTGTCTTCTGCTTTAAATGACATGCTAGAAATTTTTCAGTGAGCTGCACTGAGGACCCCTCTTCTTCCACAGCTGCAGGAGGATGCTCAGGAATAACTTGTTCTTCATCTGGTGCGAGAACTGTAGATGGAAGTGGGTCTGTGTGGTTCTGCCATCCCTCTAAAGCCATTTCAGGTGTTCTGGGTGACCCCAAAGTAAAGGTTTGGAGCATTGTCTGTAAATCAGACTGCTTGGCATCAAACAGGCCAGCTGATGGTTTCAAATGTTTCTGATGAAGAACTGTGGTGCAGTGGGGAAAAAGAGAAGGGGAACGGAACAACTCTGCACCTTGAGCACTGTTCTTGCCTCCTGGCCAATATGAGCCAGAGGAACCAACTTCAGACTCATCATCGCTTACGGCATCCCAAGGTAACTGTGAAATTAAAAACAAATTATTTTAGACCCAAACTGAATTCACATACGCACTGTTTCCACAATAGTTGGTTTTAATTGTAAAAAACTTATTTCTGCTCCTGCAGACCACCAAAAGTGACCGTTTTCAAGGGGGAGTTTGCAGGAGGTGGTATCGGCAAAGCTCAAACCCATAAACCTGGAAGTGTGTGTCTAGGCAATACCTGTTTACTTTTTTTAAAAAAATGGACAAACTGCCATTTCCATGTTTGTGATAGCCTGCTGTAGGAGCTGGGAGTAAACCCTGATCTCTTGAGCCCTAGTCTCTCACTCTAAGGGACCACACTGGCTCTCAACCATCAGTACTGTCTTCAGAACCTCTCACCAGTCAAGAAAGTGGGGACAGCATCCATCATTCCTAAACTAGAGGTTTGGGGCATTACCTGAACATCTGAACTGGACTGAAGACTGAACAATCCAGTTGTTGATGATGAAAATGTCTGGTCAAACACTGGTGCAACAAATTTGCTCTTTTGCAAAAGGAGAACCAGCAGGAGGTGGCGGAGGAAGGGCATTCTGACTGACGACAGGAGCTGCAGCGCCAAAGCCAAAGGAGGCAGGTTTAAACTTGATGCTAGCAGAGGAATCCTCAGGGATCTGTGGAGTAAAAACATGCCTTGTCTTAGACTCAGATTGGATTCGCATGTAATTCATTCCCCTCCCCCCATGTTTTTGAGTAAAATTGTGGAAATGGCTACTAAAAACAGCCCCCACAAATTCCTGAATATTTAAGTATGCTTTCAACAAAGTTGCATAGCATTTGAAAAAGATCCAGGAGATTTCTGTCATATGGTGTCTCCTAAAGTGGCTCAAAACTGTAGCTACCTCAGAGGCTTTATTCTGGGAATAAATGCAAGCCTGAGCTCATAAACACCTAGTATTCTTTCTACTTACTGGGAGAGGTGGGATTTCTGGCAATGTTCTGTTCTGATAAGATCCAGCAAAAATTCCATTAACCTCTATAGTAGAGCCTCAACTATTTATATTCCTAGGGGTTAGAGCTCATAGGTTTTCTTTTTTCCTGGTGAAATGCTAGTTTCTACACTAAGCAGGAATCATAAAATGTAAGGAAAACACTTCTAACTATGGAGAATTTTGCTAAAGGGATTTATATTTCCGAAAGTGTAAGACAAGCATACATGGGTTCTAATCTCATTTAAAATGCTTCAACCTGCTTTGGAATGATTTCTATTGGCTTGATTTTTTTATTTTATTTCTTCTTGAGTATTTTATGATAAATTGCTTTGGGGGCCCTGACGGTAGAAAGAGAATGAACAAACCTTCAAATAACACACACACTGTGATAAATATTAAACTGTGTTAATAATTAACAATGCTTGGTTTCAAACAAGACAATGTTGAACCTACATTTTCTAAATACAGCTTATATAAAATAGCTGTAGCTAGGATCTATCACCTTCTTAGGTCTGAAAAATAGCAAACTGATGAAGTGAAGCAAAAGCAGAAAAAGCTTTCAAACTCATCTAAGGAAAGCTCACAACAGCTGGGAATTTTTCGGTTGAGAAAAGATTAACAGAGGGCATGACACAGATGTCTAACATTAAGGATACTGTGGAAAAACTGGATAGAGATTTAGAGCAGAGATATGCAGAATTTGGGACAGTTAATTTTAATTAAGACTGAAAGTCCCAGAATCTCTGGGCTATCAAAGCCAATGATCATGCTGGCTGAGGGATTCTGGAGTTGTAGGTTAAGAAACTATTTCTTCCAAGATCTCATGTATGACTCTGTGTATATGACGAAGCCAGAGAAATAGTCCCGAGGTCAAGGAGAGATACAGAAGAACAGTTTGCTGTCAACTGAAGTCACCTAGTGGTATTGTTCTCTGACTTTCTAGGAAGAAAATATAAAGGAATGGATCTGCCAAGGCAAGGGTCTCCTACTTGCTTCCCTTATGCTCTTCTTCTCTACTTCTAAAAGGAAGAAAACAATTTTAAAACGCCAATGTACCAAAAATCCTTTGCACTAGGTTATGCTGCATCTAACTTATACCAACCCTAACAGGGTTTTCAAGGTATGTCAGATACCTATAGAGTGGTATTTCCTTCGCCAGCCTCCAGTGACATTCCACGGCTGAGTGGACAATTAAACCCTGGTCTCCTGAGGTCTAGTCCTTCACTCTATTCATGATACAACACTGGCTCTCAACGACTAGCATTGTCTTCAGAACCTCTCACCAGCCAAGAAAGTGGTGACAGTATCCGCCATCCCTAAACTAGAGGTTTGGGGCATTACCTGAACATCTGAACTGGTCTGAAGACCAAACAAGCCAGTTGTTGATGATGAAAATGTCTGGCCAAACACTGGTGCAACAAATTTGCTCTTTCTTGCAAAAAGAGAACCAGCAGGAGGTGGTGGAGGAGGGGCACTCTGACTGATGACAGGAGCTGCAGTGCCAAAGCCAAAGGGGGCAGGTTTAAATTTGATGCTAGCAGAGGACTCCTCAGGGATCTGTGAAGTAAAAACATACCTTGTCTTAGACTCTGATTGGGTTCCCATGTACTGTAGTTCATTCCCCCCCCCCGTTGTCAAGTACAGTGGTGCCTCGCTTAACGACTGCCTCACTTAATGAAGAATTCGCTTACCGATGGGTTTCTTTTAGGAATTGTCCACATCGGAAAGCCATTCAAATGCATTGAGTCGGCTTCAATGCATTTCAATTGGGGAACTGCGTTTCGCTCAACGATGTTTCCTATGGCGATTTTCGCTTAAGGACGGCAATCCGTTCCAATTGGAACGGATTAACCAGTTTTCAATGCATTCCTATGGGAAATGGTGTTTCACTTAACGATGCTTTCACATAATGATTTTTTAATCCAACCAATTAACATCGTTAAGCGAGGCACCACTGTATAATTGTGGAAATGGCTACTAAAAACAAACCCCACAAATTCCTGAATATTTAAGTATGGCTTCAACAGAGTTGTATAGCATTTGAAAATGATCCCTGAGATTTCTGTCATACAGCCTGTCTCCCAAAGCGGCTCAAAACTGTAGCCACCTCAGAGGACTTTTCAAAGCTCTGAGGCATGGCTTTGTACAAAGGAAAAAGCCAGAGACATAGTTCCTACATCTTGGAGAGATACAGAAGGACAGTTTGCTGTCAATTGAAGTCACCTAGTGGTACCTTTCTCTGACTCTCGGGGAAGATAATATAAAGGATTGGATCTGCCAAAGCAAGGGTCTCCACCTTGCATCCAACCTACACCAACCCTAATAGGGGTTTCAAGGTATGTGATATACGTATGGATTGGTGACATTCCATGGCTGAGTGGACAATTAAACCCTGGTCTCCTGAGGTCTAGTCTTTCACTCTGTTCATGATACAACACATGGCTCTCATCTTGCTGTCAATTGAAGTCACCTAGTGGTACCTTTCTCTGACTCTCGGGGAAGATAATATAAAGGATTGGATCTGCCAAAGCAAGGGTCTCCACCTTGCATCCAACCTACACCAACCCTAATAGGGGTTTCAAGGTATGTGAGATACGTATGGAGTGGTGACATTGCATGGCTGAGTGGACAATTAAACCCTGGTCTCCTGAGGTCTAGTCTTTCACTCTGTTCATGATACAACACATGGCTCTCATCCACTAGTATTGTCTTCAGAACCTTTCACCAGTAGGGTGAAAGTGGGGACAGTATCCACCATCCCTAATTTAGAGGTTTGGGGCATTACCTGAACATCTGAACTGGTCTGAAGACCAAACAAGCCAGTTGTTGATGATGAAAATGTCTGGCCAAACACTGGTGCAACAAATTTGCTCTTTCTCTGCAAAAGGAGAACCAGCAGGAGGTGGCAGAGGAGGGAAACTCTCATCGGTGTAATGAGCTACAGCGTCAAAGCCAATGGAGGCATGTTCAAATTTGGTGCTAACAAAGGAATCCTCAGGAACCTGGAGAGCGAGCGAAAGGGAGCGATAGAGGGGGAAAGAAGAGAGGGAGGGAGAGAGAGAGAGAAAAAAAACTCAGATTGAGTTCACATATGGTTCGTCTCCCCCGCCCTATGTCTTAATTTGTAATTGTGGAGAACTCTGCTAGAAATAATCCTCACAAACTAAACATCTTGGCGTCAAAGCCAATGGAGGCATGTTCAAATTTGGTGCTAACAAAGGAATCCTCAGGAACCTGGAGAGCGAGCGAAAGGGAGCGATAGAGGGGGAAAGAAGAGAGGGAGGGAGAGAGAGAGAGAAAAAAAACCTCAGATTGAGTTCACATATGGTTCATCTCCCCCACCCTATGTCTTAATTTGTAATTGTGGAGAACTCTGCTAGAAATAAACTAAACATCTTGAGTACCCCATATAAGCCCTCTCAGCTTTTAAGATCTGGGGAGGCATTTCACTCAGTTCTGCCACCTTCCCAAGCTTGTTTGTTAAGGACACAAGAGAGGGCCTTCTCAGTGGCTGCTCCCAGGCTTTGGAATGCACTGCCATAAGAAGTTAGGCTGGCACCCTGTCTTGTCCTTCCATCATCAAGCAAACATCTTCCTCTTCAGCCAGGCTTTTAAGCAGTGTGTTGTCTCAGAAATACAGGTTTTTAATTTACAGAGTTTTGAATGCTTTAACTTTTTAATCTAGTTGTTTTAAATCTTATTATAGGGTTAATTGTTTTTAATTTTATATATATAATATATATGTGTGAGCACGGGCACATACATACACACACGAATATATACCTATACCTATCAAGGCATTTTTAAAACTGTGCTTGTTTTTTAGTTGTATATCTTGTAAGCTACCCTGGATCCCATATAGGGAGAAAGGTGACATAAAGATAATATAAATAAATAAATAAACTCCTGAATGTTTAAATAGGCCTTCAACAGAGTTGCACAGCATTTGAAAAAGATCCCTGGGTTTGCTGTCATATGGCATCTCTCCCAAAGCAGCTCAAAACTGTAGCCATCTCAGACAATTTATTTTGGGAATACATGCAAGCCTCATCGCTATGCGGGGCACCACTGTACATGCAAGCCTCGGGGCATACACACCTAGCATTCTTTCTACTTACTGGGGGAGGTGGAATCTCTGGCAATGTTCTGTTCTGTTAAGAGCCAGCAAAAATTCCGTTAATGTCTGCAATGGTGCATCTTTCATTTTAGTTTTTTTTAATCAGGCTTGACGCAGAAGGGACCACCCCTTTTGGGTGCTTTTGTTTTGTTTCCTTGAGGAGTGGAAGTGGCTTCTAAAGCAGGGACATGCAGGTTAGTGCAGGACTTGCCTAGAGAATGTTGAACTGACCTGGTTGGTACCCTGAAAGTGATGTTTGAGGGCGCCTTGGACCTATATTCTAAAAATGTTACAGTGGTGTCTCGACGTACGTACGTCCCTACTTACGACCATTTCGACATACGACCAGCTCCGGCTGCAAAATTTTGCTTCGACTTGTGGCCAAAGCTTCAACTTGCGACCAGGAAAGGCAGGGGGGAAAGGCTGGAAATTCAAACCATTGGTGGAGAAGAGGCTGCTTCTCTGTAGCTCTTTCGCCCCAACAGTTAGGGAAAGGGATGCAGTGGCAGGGGGAGGTGGGGCGTTACTGCACCTAGTAATGGTGAGATCCTGGTCCTCAGCCTCAGTGCGGAGGTGGAAAGGGCCCCGATCCTGGCTCCAGGAGGAAGGGTCCTCATGCGCCACCGCCTCCTCCTTCCTGGCAGGGCTGCGCTCAGTGCTTGGCCCCGTGGGGGCTGTTTGCCTCCTGACGGGCTCCCCAGTGCTGGGAGGCTGAGCCTGGCCAGGATGCTCCAGATGCTCGCCCATCCTCACCCTCTGCCATGGCCAGCCCCGCTGGGGAGTGAGTGCGATCAGAGGAGGCTTTGGACTGGTAAGGTAAGCTTGCAGTGTTTTATTTATTTTTTGGGGGGGAGGGTTTTTTTTTAAATGCTTGAACGTATTAATCGCGTTCCCATGCATTTCAATGGGAAATGGTGCTTCGACTTATGACCATTTCAACTTGCATCTATCTTCTGGAATGGATTATGGTCGTAAGTCGAGGCAACACTGTACTTCTAAGAACTCTGGATGTAGGAGTCACCTCTTCACACAGAGTGTTATTGAACTGTATGTAACTCACTTCCACCATATATGGTGATGATCATTAACTTATATTATTTTAAAATGGTTCAGCCAAAATTGTGGCTGAGAAGGATATCAATATATGCAAACTTCAGATCACAGAAGAATTACCAGACCTTGGAAAAACTGCTTCTGGCTTCCAGATTTGCCTGGCCAGGAGCCCAACTGCCTGGAGGGTCCTGGGAGTTGCAGTTCAGCAAATAAATTTCATGAAACTGTTACAAATAATATCCTCTTGCTGTTGATTATGGCATTGGGGAACAACATCAGGATATTATTGCCTTCACATTCTGTTTATGGAATTCACACACATCTGGTTCCCCAACATGGACCATTGATCTGATCCAGCAGAACTGTTCTTATAATGTTTTGGTGAGAGGAGCAGGGCTCACCTCCTACCTGTTTGCCAATTGTGACCGGAAGACTTGGTGTCTGACAACCAATTACGCAAACATACTGAATGCAGACATATGACTATTTTAATCTGAAATCAGCCTGACAAAGTGGTCCATCTAAGCAGCATGAATAAAAGATGGTTTACCAGTGGACCCAGCACATCTGTTTGTACAATTAAAACCTCCCATGGATGGAGAATATATTTGTCAGAGAGAGAGAGAGATAGGCAGGCAGGCAAGCAGGCAGTTCCAAACTACCCAAACAGCCTGGGATTGCATTTATCTGTGTCACCCAATTAGTGCCTTCTAGCCCCAGGTGCTATTTATACAACATACTATTTCCTTAACTCCTTTGGCTTCACTAAAAGAACACATATACGCACACACTTGACTCAACTGTCATCTCTCAACAGACCCACAGACCACACTCACACAATAGCCAATCCCCGCATCTATTAATATTATAACAGCTGGACAAAATATGTTATCTTCACTTTACCAACAAAGCTGTATATATATTTTATGTGCAAGACAGGTTCCTTTGTCTGATTTCTGATTTCTTTGTCCTCATCTCCCAATGTAGCTGTGTTTTCTTTTGCTAATCCACTTTATCTAGTTCCTCTCCTTTCCTTCTAGACATGGCTTGTTTCCATGTCTAGAAATAAGGAATTTATTAATAGAATAATGTTATTCTATTATATTTTATCATTTATGTAAGCCGCCCCGAGTAGACTTTGTCTAGAGGGGCGGGGTATAAGTCTAAATAAAGTAAAGTAAAAGTAAAGGAAGAATTCTTCTCTGTTTGCTTAACTTCCCAACCAATCACATTCCCCCATGAAAAGCTGAACTTTCTGAAACACAGAGAATGACAAAAAAATCTGCATTGAACAACAGTCGTTTTAGACAAACAAGCATTCCACTAGAACCTTGCCTTTACAATGGGAGTTGTTGTTATGTGCCTTCAAGTCACTTCCAAATTATCCTGAAACAATAGAATTTTTGAGGCTCATGAGATGTTCTGGGAATGGTTTATCACTATCTCCAAACAAGTTTCAACAGTTGGTTCATGATTTGAACCCATGTGTCCTGAGCTTTAGACTAACATTTTATCCCCTACACTGAGCTTTTGGGAGTAAATATTATTAAAAGAAGCAAGCACCCTGCCATGTAGCACAAAAGAAAGGAAAGAAGGTAGATAGTGTAAGTTACATACATTTTCACTTGGTGTCGGTTGTGTATATTGAATATAGGGTAAGATGTCTACATCCTCATTGGCTACCAGTTCCAAAACATTCAACGTATCAGCAGTCTGGTCATCCTTTGTATCCTGAGTAAAAACCATTCAGAATTACAACACAGAAAAAGGCATGGTTGAAAATTCGAGACTAAGGTAATACACATCTAAGCTTCAAGGGAACAAGGGACCCAAGAACTCATGTGAAAGGGCAAAAAAAATCTATGAAGTAACCCCCCTTCACAAATAACAGAAGCATGCAACTGATTTAAGATGGCTTTGCATCTTCCAGTGACACATAAACTCTGCCTGATTCTATACCTCACATTCTGCCTCTATTTCTCCTTTTTTCTTTGTCTGAAGAAACCAGTGCATTCCAAAAGCCAGTATGTCAATAAACGTCTTAGTATTTCTCAGCAAACACAGAGTTGACTGGCAATCTGTATGATGCTGGCATGTCCACACTCCATATTGAGACACTACATCCCAGTCACAATTACCTTGCCAAAAAAAACCCCAGTTACACATTCCTTACAAGGAACCAAAATGAATTCCTAAGAGGCAAGCAATTTGACTGGTTCCCTGGGAAGTAACAAAACTAGGAATATAGAGGTTTCAGAGCTTGTAAATGTTAGCTTTGAGAACAGTTCATCAGCATTAAATTATTTAAAAAACTAATTAGTTCACATTGTACAATTAAGGAGAAATCATGAAACTGATTTATTGGCCAAATTCCTGTTTCTTCACATGGTAAGTTGCACTAGAGTAAGCCCACCAAACCAATGCGGATTTAGTAAATCAACTGACAATTTTTTCGTCTGTAGTTTGTTTTTCTAAAGCAAAAGCTGGTGTGCACAGAGTAGTTGGTGGATACACATACCCTTTTTTCAATTGCCACAAAACTTGTAAACTGGGTCACAATAGAGTTCTTTAAGCTGAGGTCAATGATCAAGGATTTCAGCTCCTGTTTCTTCATCTAAATAAATAAGACAAAGGAAAACTGTAACGGTGGCACATGATACACTCACACCTTTTCCCCATTTCAACCAGTCCACCAACGCAGGCTTCCCCAACGTAGTGCCCTTCAGAGGTTACTCTCTTGGTATCTTCCCGCTGGCTATGCTAGGCAGGAGCGCTGAGTGCTGTACTCCAGAACACTGTAGTCTAAGGGCACCAAGGCTCTTTCAGGGTATCTTCACCAATACAGCAGAGTGTTCCACCCATATGTCCAGTATGGTGACAGTGTATCTGATATCCCACTAGTGAAACAGGCCTTCTGCCTAATTGTATAGCCCCTTAGCTAGGTCTTGAGTGACATCTTGACTTCTCAGGGCAAAATACAATGTCAGTCCAAGGAAGAGTACATCCACTGATACAAGTGATCTGTGTTTTGTTGTTACAAACTCCATTCCTTTCAATGGTCCTAATCAAAGTATGAATAATGCTGCATTTAGTTCTTAGTGAGCTATTGAGAATGCCCAGATACACATGAATAAAAGTTGACCCAATCACACATATAAGTGAATATAATGGATATTTAAGAGGCAGAAATGATTTATTTTTTCTTACTGGAACCACAGCAGATATAATTCAAAAGGACCTTGTGTGCTCTAAGCAACATCTACTTTATTCTAAAAATCCTAGTCCTACATCTATTGCTTAATTCAGAAATGTGTTGTTGTTATGTCATCAAATTGTTTCTAACGTATGGCAACCCAGTGACTCAGTGACCTCCAAAAGACCCCATGATTACAAGTCGGCTCAGATCTAGCAAAAGCTGAAGCTTCCTTTATAGACTCGATCCATCCCACGCTCAGTCTTTCTCTTTTCCAGCTACCTTTAACATTCAGTTTTCTCAACATTATTTTCTTTCCAGTGAATCTAAATTGTTTTGTCAAAATAATAGTTCAAATTAACTAAATATAAATTCAGTATTTAAAATAATCATTGTGAAGACAAAAAGATTTGCTTGTTGATTTTTGATGGTGTATGTGGCACAGCAATCATTTAAATCTGTGAAATATCTGGGTCAAGCACCACTATGAAGCTCAGGCTTCTCAAATGTGCTTGTTAACAAAATCAATTAGGCTTCTCAACGAAATGAGCCTGCATGTTACATACAACCTGGTATATAGTGTATAGCAGGGATGGGCACAGAAATGGCAGGCCACATGCCCAGAAGCCTGTAGCACATGATTGACCAATTTGGACCAATCAGATAGAAGTAACTAGAAGCTATTTTCCTCTTGGTTACATACCTCATGTTCCATTTCATTTTCGTGAAGAAGCCCTTGTTCATAATCTCTAATGAAGGCTCTTGCTGCAAGTTTGTGCAATATCTAATACAAGAGTGGAGTAGGAAGAGAAAGCCTGATCAGTAACATGGAAACAAGCATACCTAAATGTAAGTATTGGATCTTATGTTAGTTAAAGAACATTTAATGTTTTTTTTTAAAGGGCAGTTATGAAAAAGTCCAAATGGGATTGGGACTGTGGTGTTCAGGCGACTTTAAAAAATCCTTTATCCCTATGAGTCGTTTCGTTTCGTTTAGTTGTTTAGTCGTGTCCGACTCTTCGTGACCCCATGGACCAGAGCACGCCAGGCCCTCCTATCTTCCACTGCCTCCCGGAGTGGGGTCAGATTCATCTTGGTTGCTTCGGTGACACTATCCAGCCATCTCATCCTTGGTCGTCCCCTTCTCCTCTTGCCTTCACACTTTCCCAACATCAAGGTCTTTTCCAGGGAGTCCTCTCTTGTCATGAGATGGCCAAAGTACTGGAGCCTCAGCTTCAGGATCTGTCCTACCAGGGAGCACTCAGGGTTGATTTCCTTTTGAATTGATAGGTTTGTTCTCCTTGCAGTCCAGGGGAATCTCAAGAGCCTCCTCCAGCACCACAATTCAAAGGCATCAATTCTTCGGCAGTCAGCTTTCTTTATGGTCCAGCTCTCATTTCCATACATCACAACAGGAAAAACCATAGCTTTGACTATTCGGACTTTTGTTGGCAATGCGATGTCTCTGCTTTTTAAGATGCTGTCAAGGTTTGTCATTGCTTTCCTCCCAAGAAGAAGGTATCTTTAGCTCTGAATCTGAGGGGGGAGGGGAGAGAGTGATCTCTTACTGGCTCTATCTGCTGCAAACCTAGCAATGCTGATCCTTAACTGTAAAGTCAGAAATCTGAAATGAAGGTGGAAGAGACATGTCAGAAGTATGGCAGTGAAGTGGAAGGGAGAAAATGTGGCTGTGTGTGAGATAGAGGGTGAGAGGGATACCCTGCGCTCGCTGGAGAGACGTCCCTCCTCAACAGCAAAGCTAAGGAAGTGGACTCCAAACCCACACCAGAGCCTACAGTGAAACCTCAGCAGGAGACAGAGATAGCGGAACTGATGGAAGACATGCAGAAAGTGATGGTGGGAGAGGTTCAGGAAGAAAAGGTGGGAAGAGGGAGAAAAAAGAGGGTGGAGTTTGAAGCAGGAAGGGGGGGAGGTAGAGAGGAAAGAGGAACAGTTACTGCCCGGTTGGGAATGGGTGTGGATGCAGGATCCCTGGAATGGTTTATGGGAAAGATTAGGAGAGACCAAAGAGGAGGCAGATTAAAGAAGGAGAGTGGAGATACTGTACTATCTATACCCTCTTATTGGGGAGAAGCTGAGGACAGAGAGTGGAGGAGGCGATTGAGAGAGGAGAAAGAACGAGTTGAGAGAGAAAGGAGAGAAAGACTGGAATGGAGAGTAAGGGAGAGGAAGAGAAGGAGTTACAGGGAGGATCCTGGGAGAGCTGAGATCCCGATGGATGAATCCTATGGGATGATGACCTGGACAAGGACACCGTGCCCCTGCTGGAAGGCCCAAAGGGGCAGACCTGGTAGATCAGTTCCCATTGACCTACCGGGACCATGGAACAATAGTTATGGTAACCCGTTCCTGTTTGAAGATTGGGGACCCCTTCAGGACCCGTTGGCAGGAGGAGAAAAGACTCATAATCATGTTCCAGA